AAAAAAAAAAAAAAAAAAAAAGAAAAAAAAAAAGAAAAGAGACGAAGAAAGATAGAAAAAAAGAAAGAAGAAATGGAATAAGAAATTTAGTTGTGAGTGAAAAAGACGACAATGGAACATATTTGTGCATGGAACTGGGAATCATATTTGAATCATATTTGTGCATGGAACTGGGCAACACGTATTCAAATTGCTCAGCGGTCTTGCTTTAACAGATCCTGTAAAACCAAATTACCAAAACGCCGTCACTGCCGATTTGTTAAGGTTAGAAAAGAGAAGAAGAAAAACGATGGGATAAGAACTGAATAGGTACGTGTAAAACACTGGCATACTCAATTATGTATCTTTTGTTAGAGAGTAAACAAAGACATAAGGGGAAAACACTGAAACCACTATAATCAATCAAAAAATATACATACGATCCCCCGTCATCTCGATCTCTCGTCCAGAAAATTGCTGTTAATTGCCTATAAAGATGAAACTCAGTAGTTCCAGTTCGTCGTTCCAAAGCATAAGTGATATCCACATAATAATATAAAAACATGTCCTCTGAATTTTCAAAAACTGATCTTTCTACTTCCGTTTTATAATTTGAACAAATTCTTCTCGCCATATGTTGCAACGAATTTTAGCGCTACCAATAAGAAAATTAGATCACATAATTATCATTATGCAACTAATTTCTCTAAGTGACATTTAAATTACTACTAAACAGTTCAGTGTTTCAAGTCTACTTGACCGATCCCTAAAAGATGTACCAACCCTTCATTTCATTCAAAAGGCATCAGTAAATCTAGCTTTTAAAAGTTGCAGTTTTTTCTTCTAAATACTTTCAAATGGATTCAGCGTAGAACAGAACGTCTGCTGTCATTTATCGTGCTGAGAAAAACTGTATGTATATCAATCGGCACCCTTATCGAAACGTCAGTGTAGAGGTAATTTATGACATTTCTGCAAATTTACAACACTTCAGCTATGACTATACAGATTTTAACATGGATTTTCAACTTGATACTGTTACGACCTACTGATAAACTTCTTTAGACACTTAACAATGCGATGAAAGTGAAAAGTCTGCATATAGTCAGTTTTTCGAGCAAGAGGCTGAAAGAGGAAGTTTTTGCAACACACAACTTACTTTTTAATCCGTCTTTTGAGATTTACTCTCAGCCTCTTTAGATTTTTAAAACGATTTTTCAGTATTCAAAAACCTTTTGAAATCCAAAATTTTCAAAAGATTTAAAAGACGTAGGACTGGTTAAAGCCTCTGCAAGCAAAGCAGATATTTTTCAAATAAATCTTTTATAATAGTTTTTCCATAACACTAAAGAAACTCTTCTTGCACTAATTCCATTATCTCCTGCAAATTCTATTTTCTTGGGCTGCTGCTCTTCCCTTCTCCTCAAGCTCCTTCTGCTGGGAAAACAATTTTAACCATTGAATCGTTTGATATAAAAACTTATATAGAAATGGTATAAAAATAGTGAAGTGGCAAGGTTCAGTGAAGATAATTAAAGAGGAATACCTGTAGAGCAATGTAGAAAACCTCTTCTCTTAATATAGGCTACTTTCAAGCATCAGGATTTGGTAGAATAAAGTCAAAAATTGTTTAACTGAAAAAATTTTCCTAAATTTCTGCTCCTGAAGAAGAATCAAGGTAAGCAAGCTTTGAAACCGTTCAACTAGTTTCTGCATAAAAGTTAAGAAAATGGACCACTGAGGGTTATGCACTCCTCAGACAAAGATTAACAGCAACTTTAAAAACATATCAATGCTTCAGTGCGATGCTACCAGAGCAAAAAAAACTTGACGAAAAATAGAATTAGGAGCTTTTGGGTTCGTGGCAACAAGCTCTATTTACAAAGAAAATAATCTCATCTTTATACGCTGAGTAATAGTTTTCAACATAGTTTGCATTTTTCGTTAACTCATAGAACAATTCGTCAGCCAGAACCCAGTAACATTGCAAACACTCATGAAATCTTTTTCAAGCAAGATTGTAATCGGCAAACAGCAATACGAGCGTTTTATAGTCGTAGTTCTAAGATACTGGCATAAACTAAGGAAGTCGTAAAAGCGTTAACTGTAGACTGAGAATACGCTTGAACTATTTTCTGAGCGAATGTCGCTGCAAGACGCTATACTTTACTACAGAACGCAATGGTAACCTTAAGCCAAACATATTTGGTGTCTAAATATCGTAACTGACTACCAAATTTTCGTTTCTTACTTTTGAAATATTACGTCAGATCTCTGTTAACAAATTTTTATCGCTCTACGTCGCATCATACACTCTTTCGACTAGTAAGTAGTATTTGGAACTGTACAAAAACTGGAAATTTACCTCGTCAACTAACTTTAGAAAAAACTAAAACTTTTTGAGACAGCAAAAACTTGAAAATTTTTACTCATCCATGGTCAACTTCGGGAATTCACAACTAGCCTAATTATTCTCCCAAAATAATCATTTCTGAAATTGCTTCAAAAGGTATGTCAACTTTCCAAACTTTTCCAAACAGCAACTTTCTATCATAAAGTAGAGAAATATTATTGGAATGGTACATTTCAAACTTGGGCAGTAGTGGACAGACAACATATGTAGTTAAGAATGAGGCAAGGAAACGGGGAATGCACTGCAACGCTGTTTCAGTACTGGCGTATTCGGATTGGCAGCTTGCAGCGGCAAATTCAATCCCTTTCAACTACGACAACAAGTTGGTTTTTTAATCCTTTCAAAATTGAAATTTTATACTTGAGTGCAGTCCACAGCAACTAATTGCCCTCAAAACGCGATCAAAAAAAATCTTGACTTTTGGAAGAAAGGAAGGCGAAAGTTAGTACATAGATTTCGGTAGCTCCATTTTATCCTGGATGCCCGCTTGAAAATCCTGACAAGAATCTTAATGAATCTTAATGATTCTTGATAGAATAGGATAATGAAGTTAGTTATAAGAATTCCACCAAAGTGCATCAAACCAAATTCAGTGAAAAAATAAACCAATTTGTGCATTATCGTTAGAAGAAATAATCTGGGGATTAATAATACAGATAATTACTACTGATGGATTACCTCTCAGAAACCGTTTGAGTCAGTGATCCTCGAATTGAGCGTTATCCCTGCTCCTTGGGTCGATGGAGTATGCCAAGGGACAACAGAAAGTGCCAGAAGGGTTATGAAAAAACCAGGAGAGCAGCAGAGAATGTTAGAAATTTGGCCAGAGAGTTTTAATTACTAGAGGAATAATGGTGTCAGGGCATTTTGAAGGCTTAAGATATCGGTTAGGAAGCCTGAGATTTGAGGACAGTTTGAAAGCTGCAGCGATTTGGAAGAACGCCTTAACGAGAGCAGTTAATGCATTCCCAAAGACTGCCCTGTTTTTCCGGGTAAAAATTTCAGTGGTAGTAAGCTGTTTACGTAGTTTTTGTTTATCCCTGACTTGATTAAGTTAGAAGGAAATGCGGAAACTGACAGTGGCGACCTAAAAGACGGAAATACTTGAATAAGAAGGCCGAACGGGGGGGAGCCAAGACGATCTAATACGAGGGGAGCAACAACTTTTTTCTTCTAGAGGAGAGTGATATGCCAAAAAAGCTTGGAAAGCACCAATTTAGTCGAAGCACAAAAACTGGAAAATATTGGTTGAAGCTTAAAATAATGCAGAGATAGATCGCCACCTCGTGTCAGATAACCCAACTAGCCACCCAAGTCATATCGGAGCCCTTCCCAGTGCCTTTGGCAAAGAATCTCTCTGTTTAGTAATTGTGTGCGAAAGCATTTTCACACTTCAACTTTGTTCGCTGCGTTCTCTTAAGATTCCTCTGAGAGGCCTCTTGGCGAATACAGCTGAGAAGAATATCTTGTTACAAAAAAACCTTGTGTACTGTACATTTTCAACCACGCGGCTGGCCAAATTTTATATTTTCTGACAGTTAGACAATTAAGCATGCAATCTGCGTTTTCTTCCATGCATTCCTAGAATTAGCCGTAAGCTAGCTTCAACTGCTTCAATGGTAATTCTGAGAAGGCGTGTCCCTGTGCCGTCTTGAGTTAAGGTAATGTATTTCACCTCTTTATTCAGTTGTTGTTTCCGTTCCCACTCTATTCTTCCTTCTCGTTCCAACTTTCCTTTAACGGTTCCCCATCTTGTCCGTCGCATTCCTTCCTATCCATTCTTTCCTCATCTCTCTTCCGCTATTTCTTATCCTCCAAATCCTTAATCACACAATCTTTACTTTTCCCTCAAAACCAATTCTGCTTTTCCTTGACATTATCCCCCTTACCTTCTCTCTCCCCTCCTTTACCTTTTTCTCTTTCGGATATCTGAGATTTTATTACAGTCGATGTGACGACAAGCCCTCCGATAGGAGGAAGGTACTGCAATAGGAGAGGAAGGCAGATGTTGCAGTGTGGGTACAGGAAGAGAACATAAGGTAGGAATTACTGAAACCGAAATGGTAGGAAACGATAACTGACTAGTAAAAAACAGGCATCTAAGCATAGAAGGATCTGAGACTAGTGACGATGGACAGTCAGGTGCTAAGTTTTTCTGCCTTTTTTCGTACTTACTTTTTCTTTATCTTTTTCTCGTTTCTTTTTGCCTTGTTCCTCTCCCTTTTTTCTATTTCCGTCCCTTTCCTCCTTGGTTCGTCTTACTCTTACTTCACCTCTTCTAAGTTATCTTTCTGCCATATCTGCTTCCTTCTGTACAATTTTTACTTAATTTTTCGGAATCCTTTGTCATCTCCTCTCTTATTCTTTACTTCCCTAACCCTGCTACACTTACTTCCTCTTCACCCCATCCTGCTTCTGTTTTTATCAATTTCCACCTATTTCCATTTCACTTCCCCCTCTGTATTTTTCTTACCTGAGTTTTCCCGTCCGTTTTTTCCAAGCATTTTCCAGCCCGACCTCTTTTTGGCTTTAATTTTCCATTCTGTCCCTTCTAATTCATGTCCACCAGCCTTCATCTCTCTTCTCTTTCCTTTATTTTCTCTCTATGCATTTCTTTCCTCTCCCTCTTGAACTACTTTTTGTTTTCATCCCCTTAAATTTCTCCTTGTTTTTATTGTGACGGTCCTTATTTCCCTTGCCCCCTCTTGCCCCTCCCTCCGCTTCTTCTTTTGATCATCTTTTCCTTTCTCTCCACCCCTCCTCTTATTCTTGGACTCCCTTCATCCCCTCATTTCTCATACGTCCTTGCCCCCTTGCCTTAACCACTACCTTTCTACTGCCTTTATTCATTTTCCTTCTTCTCAACTTCTTCAATTTCGAAGCTAAATTTATTTTATCCTTCCTTTTTTATAGTTTTTACTTATTTTCTTTCCCCTTCATTTATCACTAGTTTTTCGACGCATCCCTTATGTCTTACTTCTTCATTTACTCTTTCGCCATTTTCTCCATTTCCTTCATTTTACGTTCACCCTTTCCTACTGTCTCTTCCTTATAAGTTTGTCTCGTACATGAATCGTTGCTGTAAGTAAATGGAAAAAAAGCTTTTCGATATCGGAGAGAAACAACAACAGAAGTGTTAAAGCATGAAGATATAATTAAGAGTGATGACATGTATATTTGGGGTAAGCAACACGGTTTACAGTTCCCAGATCCTGCATAACTGAAAAATTATTTCCTTTCAAAACGATATGTCAGATGGCAGTCCATTCAAAAAGACCTCTTGCACATTCCAAGTGGAAATACGAAGCGCTCTTCATGCATGATTAGGAAAGCATTATTTACTGTCAACACAAAAATATTTTGACAGACCTAAATAGAAGTCGGTGAAAAAAAAAAAATGCTTTGAATAAAAAGCCCATTAAAACATCGCAGAATGACTATTTCAATTATACATCAACGTCCTACCTACAACATCAACTAGCAAACCTCCCACCGTTATGATTTCATGCCAGTTATTCTAACAGGTTTAAGAGGATTTCATCCTATTTGTGTTTATTGTCTTCGCTGTTCTTGGTGCTATTTAACTGCTTCTGGTTCAGGGTTATTTGGAAACATCTAAACAGTACTTGAAACTATTTTTTTTTTGATCACATGTTTAGCACATTTGATCAGCGATCATACATCACCATAATGGAAATATTAAAATTAATACTAAATTTTCAGATAAAATCAGTGCAGTATGTTGTCTGTCGATTAGCACTCAATTAGATGTACTATAAAGTTCAATTTGCTGAATATTCATATCGGAGGATAGGTTAATTGCACTCCGAAACTTAATTCATTGAAGGCTTTCATATTAAGCATCTATTGGATGTACACTCAAAAAACTGGTACATTTATTTATTTATGTTTATATATTTATATTTATAAATATATTAAAATTTAGATTTATATTTATATTTAGGTTTAGATTTAGATTACTTATATTTATATTTATATTTATATTTATATTTATATCATATGTATATTTATATTTATATTTATATTTATATTTATATTTATATGTTTATATTTACACATTTATATTTATATATTGGTTTTGACCCATTTATTTATATTTCTGTTTATTTATTTAAATTTTTTAAGCCATATCTGACTGCTTCTAATTTGGCACTATGCCGTACGAAACTTAGCTTTGAAAAGAAAAAAAAAAAGATGCTGTCCGTGAAAAACTTCCATGGTAAATTGACCGGTTTAACGATGATTATTTACGCAAAATGAATACACTGATGAAAATGTTTATAAGGAAAAAAAATCCTTCACTTTATTTTTTAGGGGACGGGGGAACGCCATTTAGTTGCGTAATTGAAGTAACGCGTACATCGAAAGAAAGAACACCCATTCGCCAGCAATGGCTCCTCGGTAGTTGACAAATCTACATGTACTATTCGGCAACTGGCGGCTACCGCTCACCATTGCCGAGAAGAAAGTAGTGAATTCGGTGTTGGCGTTGTGCCAAGCAGCACTAAGGCACTTTATTTGAACTCACAGAGTGCCTGAGGTTTGTATAAGCCACGAGCAAACTGCAGTAATTCACAGCTATTTTTATCTGAAGACAGGGATAAGCGCTTTGGAGCTTTGTGGTTTTCAGGTTTTTTTTTTTTTTTTTTTCGAAGTAAAAAAGTTGTTACTGTTTTTTTGCAAATGGTTATCAGTTTGGACGTGTTACTTTTTGGCAGTAACTTTCGTGCACCATCATTATTTGCTTCAATCAGTTGAACAACTTGCTGAAGCGGCTAACATGTCAGTTATTTATTTGTTTAACCAAAAGACTTATTGTAGTGTTTCTTCGACTGTTGTCGTTAATTTGGTGCATTATTAAATAGCTTTTATGATGGTTGTGTGCTTCGTTATTTTCGAAAAAAAAAAAATTTTTTTTTTTTTTTTTT